GCTTTAAAGTCAGACATTGATGTCTCCTCTCTAGCTGTGAAAGTCCTAGGTGGCATCTTCTTTCAATAGAAGGCAGTTTCGTCTGCATTGAAAATATGTTGTTTGGTGTAGGTATCATTGTCAGTGATCTTAGCTAGTCTTTTGGATAACTTGCTGCAACTTCTACATCAGCACTTGCTGCTTCACCTTGTGCTTTTTTGTTCTGGAGATGGCTTCTTTCCTTTAAACCTCATGAACCAACATCTGCTAGCTTCCAATCTTTCTTTCGCAGCTTTTTCACCTTTCTTTCGCAGCTTTTTCACCTTTCTTAACCTTCATAGAGTTGAAGAAAATGGAGTCCTTGCTGTGGATTAGGTTTTGGCTTAAGGGAATGCTGTAGCTGGTTTGATCTTCTATCTAGGACTCTAAAACTTTCTCTGCATCAGCTATAAGGTTGTTTTGCTTTCTTATCATTCATGTGTTCACAGAAGTAGTTAATTTCCTTTAAAAACTTCTACTTTACATTAGTAACTTGGCTGTTTTGCACAAGAGGCCTAGCTTTCGGCTTGTCTCAGCTTTCAACACATTTTCCTCACTAATCTTAATTGTTTCTTGCTTTTGATTGAAAGTGAGAGATGTGAGGCTCTTCTTTTCACTGTAATACTTAGAGGCCATTGTAGGGTTATTCATTGGCCCAATTTCAGTATGTTGTGTCTTTGGGAATAAGGATGCCCAAGGAGAGAGAAACAGAGGAACTGCTGGTTGGTGGAGCAGTCGGAATGTGTATTAAGTTTGCTTATGGACATGGTTCGTGGTACCTCAAAACAATGACAGTGGTAACATAAAAGATCACTGATTACAGAGCACCATACCAGATATAATAATGAAAAAGTTGGAAATATTGTGAGGTTGACCAAATTGTGACACAGAGACACAAAGTGAGCACATGCTGTTGGGAAAATGGTGCTGACAGACTTGTTTGATGCAGGGTTGCCACAAATCTTCAGTTTGTGAAAGCAGTATCTGCGAAGCTCAGTAAAGTGAAGCACAATAAAATGAGATATGCCTGTACTTCTGTCACCCATGTGCCATCCCTTTTCCGTAATTAATTGGCTGAAGGAACACAAACACACATTCACATATTTGAAACAATTTTAAAGAATGCATCTTAAAATTATAACATGTCTTACAAATATTTTCCCTTTCTTTCACTTGAAAAGATTACTTTCTGTTATAGTTATTTTAAGGTGTTTTTCAGGATATTCTCATCCTCATTTCTCCTCTCTGTCTTGCTTTTCCTTTGTATTTTTTCTCCAAATCAAAGAAAAATTTATGTAGAGGAACTTAGGTCAACTGATCGTAGTGCTTCTTTCATAAGGGTAATATGTATAATCGCAAGGCTTTTAGACAACATTATAGTGAATATAAATTCTTATTAATAGAAAAAAATTACCCAAGTATAATTTGTGGACGCTGGTACAGATTCGTAGGTCAGGGTAGTTTTTCAGCCTCTAAAGAGCCTTTATCCAATTACATTTGTTCCTATTTGATTTTGTGTGTTTCTTTTACTTCTGCTCTATTCTAACGGGTCTCTTCCCTGTTGCTTTCTTTTATTCACCTCCTCTAATTGCAGTGTAGATGTTTCATTGAAACTACGTCTAGTATTGGGATGCCATAGAGAAACCTTTGTATTTTATAAATTTCAAGTAGACTTTTTTCTTTGTGCTCTTCTGCGAGTATGCATATAGTAATATTGATATGAAGTAAATAGCTTGGAAGTATATAAGTCAAAGTTTAATCTTCAGATCTCTTGAAGAGATCTAAAGCTTTCAGAAAAATTCTACTTGAGGATGACACTTTACCTGCAACTTTGAGTCAGAGCTAAGAATTTTGTAAAAGCTTGAGAAAAATGGCCATTTCTTTCTTTCTTTTTTTTTTTTTTAATTGCACTTTAGGTTTTAGGATACATGTGAAGAACATGCAAGATTGTTGCATAGGTGGTATACACATGGCAGTGTGGTTTGCGGCCTTCCTTCCCCTCACCTGTATCTGTCATTTCTCCCCATGCTGTCTCTTTCCACCTCCCCACCCCCCCATCCCTGCCCCATTTCCCCCCAACGGACCCCAGTGTGTAGTGCTCCCCTCCCTGTGTCCATGTGTTCTCGTTCAACACCTGCCTATGAGTGAGAACATGCGGTGTTTGATTTTCTGCTCTTGTGTCAGTTTGCTGAGAATGATGGTTTCCAGGTTCATCCATGTCCCTACTAAGGACACGAACTCATCATTTTTGATGGCTGCATAGTATTCCATGGTGTATGTGTACCACATTTTCCCTATCCAGTCTATCATCGATGGGCATTTGGGTTGGTTCCAGGTCTTTGCTATTGTAAACAGTGCTGCAATGAACATTCGTGTGCATATGTCCTTATAGTAGAATGATTTATAATCCTTCGGATATATACCCAGTAATGGGATTGCTGGGTCAAATGGGATTTCTATTTTTAGGTCATTGAGGAATAGCCACACTGTCTTCCACAATGGTTGAATTAATTTACACTCCCACCAACAGTGTAAAAGTGTTCCTATTTCTCCACATCCTCTCCAGCAGAAGACATACAGGAGGCCAACAAACATATGAAAAAATGCTCATCATCACTGGTCATTAGAGAAATGCAAATCCAAACCATATTGAGATACCATCTCACACCAGTTAGAATGGCGATCATTAAAAAATCTAGAGACAACAGATGCTGGAGAGGCCATTTCTTTCTTTAGATAAAAGTGATAGTAATTTTATTCTTACTTGTTTTTGCTAGCTTTTAACTCATATAAGATGTTTTAGCTAGAGGAAAAAGCAAAATGAGAAAGACTTTTAAATCTTTCTTTAGACTAAGCAGTTCCAAGGAAAGTTAATTTTCAGAGTCTCCCAAAATGTTGTTATCATTACCTTTTGGTTATAACACTTACTCTGTTTTAAAATTTATTTATTTATTAATTATTTCTTTTGTAGAGACTGAGTCTCATTGTGTTGCCCAGGCTGGTCTCAAATTCCTGCCCCCAAGTATTCCTCTTTCTGTGGCCTCCTAAAGTGCTGGGATTACAGGCATGAGCCACTGTGACTGGCCATAAGACTTACTCTTTAAGAACTTTGAGGCATCATACTTCTTCATTTATTTTATACAACAGTGTGGAGAAAATCCAGTGCAAAAACAGTATACGTGTTATTTAAAACTGTGCATTGATCGGCAAACTTGAAAATGAGATGGTTTATAATTGACCCATGATTCAGATGATGAGTTCATGTAGTTCTAGGCATTTACAGACATATTTAATGAAAACGAGGAATACATGAAAGCTAATGAGAATCTTAACTTCAACTTCTCCTGATATTTCAGACTATAGCTTTTTCCATAAGTTTTCTTTATACATTTATTATGTCATCTGTGTCAAAGTTACATCCACCCGGATTTATGCATATTTCTTACATTAAGTATACTTTGAGTATAGTATATACATTTAAATATGAATTTATAGGTAGCAATAATAAAATATACATCAATTAATAAGAAAAAACAGGGTTCAACGAGATAATTCCACGTCCAGTAGTTGTTACTGTTCCATGATGAGTTGAAATTAAGAGAGAAAGCTCAATTTTCTATCTAATTGAATTTATCAAAGCAGGACCTTTCATCCACATATTGAAAACAGGATCATGTCTTTTCTCACAACCTTTAAATCAACTAATGGAAAGATTGACAGCTGGGTGAAGAGAACACAACCTTATATTTGGTTTTAGCCTGCCAGAGTTTTAATTACAACTGTGGTGATGAGGGCAGTGGGAAGATTTGCCTTTCACATAGCAACTTAAACACAGCATAATATCTCCATTGCTTTCCGAGTCATTTTCTGCTTCTGCATTCTTCATGCACGTCCTTCACATTGCATTTATGGAAACTCAATCAGAAAGCTAGCTTTTGGGTTATTTTGTTTCTATCATGGTCTATGGGAATGACAAGATAAAGTTACTACTAATCACTGAAGTATGTAGAGGAATTAACTGAAAAAAAAAAAAAAAAGCCTCTACTGAATATGTTACAAAAATTTGCCAAAGGGTTATATTTTAGAAGTCCGCTCATTTGGACAGTATTTGAGTCTTTGGGTTTCTTTTCATTCAGTTTTCTCTGCATGCAGGCTGCCTTTTTAAAAATCGGCACCATTGAATGCAGATGTTTTCTATATTCACAGTAAGGAGGAGGCTAAAGCAAACACTTAGAAAGTGACCTGTGTATCTGCATGTATTCTTTCTTTTGCTGGCAAAGATGTGGCTGTCTCTTTATTATACATTCAAGAATGCTGAGTCCTATAAAAGGATTAGATTCAGGAGAAAAGTTGTTATGCGTTGAGATACCAAATATGAATATTCAGTTAACAAGAGCAACAAGAGAAAAAAAATCACAGAATGGCTAGGAGCAATTACTTTATATGGCAAGGCCAGGAAGGCATTGAAAACACCTGTACTTCTTTGTTTTCAACTCATGAACAAATAAATGTAGAGAACATGTTTATTTGTTTAACAGTGAAAACAGTTTCCATAATGCATAAATTAAGAAGGATGGCTATTTCATAATATCCAAGGTCAGCAGACATGATAGAGGGAGAAGGGAATGATGACAGAAGTCCTTGAATAAAAGCAATTCTGACCAAAAGAGGGTATGTCCTTCTACAAGGGCTGAGCTACACATGCTGATTTTTTGAATAGACTTCTTGCCAATATATGTTTTCCTGGACTCTAGTTTATAGAATATGCTTAGCTAACATTAACAACACAGCAGTTTCTTTCCCTTACAGACAAGCCTGCTTGGGCAAAACAAGACATAAGCATATTTTGCTAATTATTTACATACAGACAAAGATAGATGAAATGTGGGTTTTGTGTTTATTTTATATTACTGTCTGATCTATGAATGAATAAAGGAATGAGAGTTTCTTATACATTTCACTTTGATTTTATTTACTTTCAGGATATCTAACAATGATATTTGAAAAACAGATACTAAGTCTTGGAGAGGTAATTCTTTTTTTACTTCTAATATTATATCATAGTGATACTGAGTTTTCTCTTTATGTTCAAATCATAGGTATGTATGGTAATGGTATCATCTATCTTCTATAACAGTTTTGAGAATATACATTTTATTGGGTTTGTGGTATCCACAAAACATTTTTTTCTTGGTTTTAAAGTTATAGTGTAATTTCAGAAACCTTGTTTGAGGAGAGCATTTCTAAAATAAGTCATAACCAGTGATATTAACGGACATCTAATTTTAAGAGGAAATGAAATAATTTCTCATCATATTTTTATATATGATATACAAATCATATTTGTATATAGAAATGGTACCTTATTAAAAATGTTATAAAGTATACTTATTTATGTTAAAGATTCAAAACTTTAAGATCAAATTATTTTTTTCCCCAAATAGAGTAAAACAATAGGTATTATCTTTGGATTCTTATCTTCATTACACGATCAAGGCCAATACTTGGTTGTTTGTCTTTTGATGAAAAATCCGTAAACATTTAAGTTTCATTATGGAAACTGCATGCTTTTATGGCTTGCAGCTTAATTAGAATTTTGGAGAGGTTCTCTCTCTATTTGCATTTTCCCGATGCGCTTGGTCTTATTTTCTTAGTAAAAGAATTGTAATTTAATGCTAGATTTGGACATATAATTCTACTTTCTTTTTCTTAATGAGAAAAGACAAAAATCAAGCATCAGACAAGAGACTAAAATAAAACTAGGATAAAGTACTGAAAAGAACAGCCACATGTATGTAAACCCTATGGAGATTTTAGCTTAAATCCATGAAAGTATAATATCACTATTTGCGAAATGCATGATGTTTGAACAACTCAAAGAAAACCACACCAAATTGTATAAGTAGTTATTTATATAATAAATGCTGATTCTATCTTGGAATTTTTGTCATGTAGAAGGAATATTTTTTGTTTGGTATCTACTAATCTGCTTTCTATTGCTATGGATTTGCTTATTCTGGATATATCGTATAAATGGAACCATACAATACGTAACCTTTTGTGTCTCTTTCACTTAGCCTATTTTTGACACACACACTTACACACACACACACACACACACACACAGACCCCAGTACCACAGTTTGTTTATCTGATTATCCACTGATGGGCATTTAAGCTGTTTTCCCTTTTTTTGCTGTTATGAATAATACTGCTATAAGCGTTCATGTGCAATTTTTTGTGTGGACATGTTTTCATTTCTCTTGGTCAGATAGATGGTAATTCTGTGTTTTACTTTTTGAGAACAGCCAAACTGTTTTCCACAGCAGCTGTACCATTTTACCTCCTGGTTTCAAGTGATTCTTATGCCTCAGCCTCCTGAGTAGCTGGGATTACAGGCAAACACCACCACTTCTGGCTAATTTTTGTATTTTTAGTAGATACAGTTTCTCATGTTGACCAGGCTGGTGGTTTTTAACTCCTGGACTCAAGCGATTGTTTGCCTTGGCCTCCCAAAGTGCTTGGAATACAGGCATGAGCCACTGTGCCTGGTTCTTGCCAATATTTATTTATTTATTTTCATTAAATGTATCCTAATGGGTATGAAATGGCATCTCATTCTGTATTTCCTTAATGACCAGTGATGTTGAACATCTTTTCATGTGCTTATTGGAGATCTGTATATCTTTTTTGCAGAAATGCCTATTCAGTTCCTTTGCTCATTTAAAAATTTGGATTGCTTGTCTATTTGTTGTTGAGTTGTAATGGTTCTTTATGTATTCTGGATATTAATCCTTTATCAGATATAATTTAAGAAATATTAATTTTTATCAGATATAACTGCAAAATTTTTCCCATTCTATAATACCTTTTGATACACAAATATTTAATTTTTTATGAAGTCCAACATATCTATTTTTACTTAAATTGCTTATGCTTTTGTGAAGTTTAAGAATCCATTACTAAATCTAAAGTCATGAAGATTTAAGTATATGGTTTCTTCTAATAGTTCTATAATTGTAGCTTTCATATTTAGGTCATTGATCTATTAGAGGTTTTTTTTTTTGTTTTTTGTTTTTTGTTTGTTTTTTAAGTAAGGAGTAAGATAGGAGTCTAACTTTATTGTTCGTGGTTATACATTTGTTCCTAAATGATTTGTTGAAGAGACTATTCTTTCTCTGTTGAATGGCCTTGGCTCTCTTATCAAAAATCAATTGACCATAGATGTTTGTGTTTATTTCTTGACTCTCAGTTTTATTCTGTTGTTCTGAATATCTATTATTATGCCAATACCATAGTGTTAGGGCTATTTTAGCTATGTAGTAAGTTTTGAAATTGGGAATTGTGAGTCTTCTGACCATATGTTACTTTCAAAATATTGTTTTGGCTATTTGGGGTTCCTTGCAGTTCCATATGAATTTGAGGAACTATAGATTTCTTTGGATAATATTATCTGAACAATATTAAGTCTTACAATTCATGAACATAGGAAGTATTTTCATTTATTTAGGTCTTTTAAAGTTTCTTTCAGCAATGGTTTATAGTTTTCAGTGTATGTCTTTTACCTCCTCGGTTAAATGTATTCCTGGGTATTTTATTCTTTCGATGCTATTGCAAATGGAATTGTTTTTAATTTCCTTTTCAGTTTGTTCATTGCTGCTTTATAAAAACAACTGATTTCTGTGAATTGCTCTTATGCCCTGTAAATTTGCTGAATTTGCTTATTGACACTAATAGGTTTTTCTGTGGATTCTATGGGATTTTGTCATTTGCAAATAGAAGTAGTTTTACTTATTTGTACTTCTAAAGGTGTCATAAATTTGTATGACTTTTATTTCTTTTTCTTGAGTCATTCCTTTGATTAGAACTTCAAGTACAGTGTCCAATAGCAATGGTCAAAGCAAGCATCATGTTTTCTTTCTGATCTTAGGGGAAAGCTTTTATTCTTTTGCCACTGAGTATGATGTTAGCTGTGCATTTTTCATAAATTCCCTTTATCATATTAAAGAAATTATTTTCTCTCCTAGTTTGTGCTTTTTTTTTTTTTATCATGAAAGGATATAGAATTTTCTCCAATGCTCCTTCTGCATGTAGTGAGATAATCATGTAATCTGTTACTCCCTCTCCTTAATGTGGTGCATTATATCAATTGATTTTTATATGTTCAACCACACTTGCATTCCTGTTGAGTTACACTTCATTTGGTCATGGTGTATACATTTTTAAAATATGCTGTTGGATTTGGTTTGCCAATATTTTGTTGCAGCATTTGATATATGTGTTAATAAGGGATATTGAGTTATAGTTTTCTTTTGATGTCTTTGTTTGGTTGTACTATGAGAGTAATGCTGACCTCACAAAATGTGTTAGGAAGTGTTCCCTCTCCTGCTTTATTGGAAAAGTTTGAGAAGCAATGGTGTTAATTCTTATTTTAGTATTTGGGATAATTTACCAGGGAAGCCGTGTAGCACAGACTTTTCTTTGTTGGGAGGTTTTTGAATACTGATTCTTTCTGTTAAGGTTTTTTTCTTTAGATCTATTGAGATATTTTACTTCTTAAATAAATTTTGATAATTTATGTGTTTCTAGAAATTTGTCAATACATCTAGATTATCTAAGTTGTTGGTGTATGTGGTTCCAAGTATGCTCTTATAATCCTTTTCGTTTCTATAAAGGTCGATACTAACATCTCTGCTTTCTTGTCAGATTTTATTTTCATCTTTCTTTTTTTTTTTTTTTTTTTTTTTTTTGAGATGGGGTTTCACTTTTGTTACCCAGGCTGGAGTGCAATGGCGTGTTCTCGGCTCACCGCAACCTTCGCCTCCTGGGTTCAGGCAATTCTCCTGCCTCAGCCTCCTGAGTAGCTGGGATTACAGGCACACACCACCATGCCCAGCTAATTTTTTGTATTTTTAGTAGAGACGGGGTTTCACCATGTTGACCAGGATGGTCTTAATCTCTTGACCTTGTGATCCACCTGCCTCAGCCTCCCAAAGTGCTGGAATTACAGGCGTGAGCCACTGCGCCCGGCTCATCTTTCTTTTTTTATAATCAGTCTGACTAAAAAGTTTGTTGGTTTAATTGGTGTATTAGTCAGGGTTCTCCAGAGAAGCAGAACCAATCGGATATATGTAGATGGATAAGAGGAGATTTATTATGGAAATTGGCGTATGTGATTATGGAAGCCAAGAGGTCCCATGATATACTGGCTGCATGCTGGACAACCAAGAAAGCCAGTGGTATAATTCAGTCAAGAGACTGAAGGCCCAAGAACCAGGGAGCTGAGGTGTAATTCCAAGTCTGAGGCTGAAGGCCTGAGAACTAGGGCGACCACTTGTGTAAGTGTTGGAGTTTGAAGGCCCAAGAACCAGGAGCTTTGATGTCCAAGGGTAGGAGAAGATAAATGTCCTGGCTTGAGAAGAGAGAGAGAACATTTGCTCTTCCACCTGTTTCTTCCATTTGGGTCTGTAGTAGATTGGAAGATACCTGCCCACATTGATTAGGGAAGATCTTCTTTACTTTGTTAACTGATTAAAATGCTAATCTTTTCTGGAAGCACTCTCACATACACACCCAGAAATAATGTTTCTCTAGCTATGGAGCATCCCTTAGCCCAGTAAAGTTGACACACAAAAAATTAATCATTACAGTTCATTTTTATCATCAAACAATTTTTTTTATTGTGTGGATTTTTTTCTCTATGTTTTTCTTCTCTCTATTTTGTTTATCTTTGCTCTAATCCTTATTATTTCTTTTGTTGGTTTTGGGTTTAATTTGCACTTGTTTTTCTAGTTTCTTAAGGTGTAAAATTCGGTTGTTAATTTGAGATTTAAAAAAAAATGTAGGTGTTTACAGCTATAAAAATTTTCTTCTGAACACTGCTTTTGCTGCCTCTTATAAGTTTTGGCATGTTGTGTTTTCATTTGCATTTTATCTGAAACTATTTTCCAATTTTTTTTTAGTAATTTCTTTTTTTAACCTATTGTTGGTTTAAAGGTATGTTAATTTCTGTGAACTTAAAAATTTTCT